TTTGTATGTAGTTAACTATTAAGTCAGCCTCAACCTCTCCACCTACTTAGTGAAGAATTGTCTAAAGACCTTCAATGGTCCGAATCAAGATATTCAGATGCATCAATTCTTCTGTCATGTTCGTCTTGAAGTTATCTCTCCTGGAAATCCCTGACTGCTCCAATTCCAGGAGAAGACCCCAGAGGCTTCCAGAGAGGAAAACCAAGCAACATGCAAAGCGCTGGAAAACTGAGTGGCTTTGGATCTCCCAGCAATGCTGAAATCTAGGGAGTCATGGATTGATGCCATCAAATTTGGAGGCAATGTTATTTCTAGACCAGAATCTATCTCTAGTCCAGTATCAATCAAATGAGAGGGTAACATAAAAACACTTTCTGGCTCAAAAAATGTTCAATTCCCCAGCACTCTTTGTTGAACACCTCCTGGGAGAGTGAATTAAGAAAAAGAGAGGCATGCGTGTTAGGGAACAGGAGGTCTGATGTGAGGGGCTCCTCTGGGTGAGGGTGAGGCACCTGTGTGAAGCACGAGGAAAACCAGATCAGACTGGAGCAGTTGGGATTTCCAGGTGAGATAACCTCAAGGTGAACATGACAGAGGAGCTGATGACCAGAATGTCTTAATTCAGACCATTGAAGGTCTTCAGACAATTCTCGACTAAAAAGGTGGAGAGGTTGAGGTGGACTCAAGGTTGACTCAGGTACATACAAACTGAGCAAAGAAAATAATGCTTAACTCCAGGGACAACGAAATTGTGCAGAAAAGTAATCAGAGGATATTATTATAATAATGTAATTATTGACCCAATAAGAATTACACCCTCCCTCCCCCTGCACAGATAGATAATCTAGTATTGAGAGGAGGCATAAGTGTGTTGATGGTAGTGAAAGAGAGCTAAATTCTCATCTTACATAATGGAAAGTCAAAGTGTAATGATTTTATCTAAAAAAGAAATGAGGAAGTAATCTCAACATTCTGATTTACTAAAAAGCCAGAAAAACTTAGGTACAAAGCAAATAAATAAGCTACTAGGAATATGGAGACAAATGGCAAGAGAATCAGCTAAAAGGATAAGAAAGTGGTTGCCTCTTGCAAGAAGAAGAGAGGGGATGGGTCAGCTGCTGCTGTTTTCCATAATAAACCCTGTGAAACTATTTCACTCTTCAAATGTATGCACACATAGCTTGGATAAAAAGGAACAAACAAGCCTAAACCCAAACAGATGTAACTTTCATATCACCAATGATTTCATTGCTGACAATTTAATCTAGACATGTTGCAATTTTATGCATTACTCACTCATTGTTCACAATGCATTGTTTTTGCACAGTGTACCTGTGTCTTTTCCAATGGCATTGCCTTCCTCAATGGTGTTTGCTTTTGGATGTGTTGGGAACTCAGTAAGTTCTCTTAAACCTTTCCGTTAACATCAGCAGATCACTCATTTTCTCTGTTTGGCTTTTCAGAAAATAGCTCTTGTGATATGTTTCTGGGTCTACAGGAGGCATAGTCATTCCTTGTGTTTTGCGTCTAAACCTGTGGTATTGTTTGGTGCAAATTACTCCTAAATAAGTAGAATCCAAGGAAGAACTTGAAGACTGCTTAAGATTAAAAGTGCGGGTATATGTTAAGGACAGAGGTGAGCTCCCCCGAAGTTGTCCTAAGAACAATCAGAGAAGAAGTGGAAGATTTTCATATAAATATGTCTATCAAAGCCTTATTTATGACAGAAAATTGTAATTTTTGACAGAAAATTGTAAAAAAAAAATTACAGCACATTCAAATGACAACTGTATGTACCATATTAAGGAACATACATGTTGGTATGGAAATATATTTGTAATATGTTGCTAAGCGAAATAAACAGATCAGTAAACCAAAAGACCTTATGCGTCAGCATGTAATTTTGGTAAAAACAATTATCTATGTAAATATAAAAGAAAGGGGAGACATATTAAAATGCTTGAAATGGTCATCGCTTGTGAAATCTTAGGTAACCTTTGCTTTGTGGTGGTGGTCTCCAAGTTTTCTCCATGAAGCATGAATACATTTTGTCATTAGGGGGAAAGTGCCATTTTAAAAACAAAAATCAAACAAAACATATAGTCTGACTTCATTTTCTTGGCTTTGCTGGAATTGAGATTATTGGAAGAAAGAGAGTAGAAATCCTTGTGATAGGTGCTATCTGTTCCATGGTTCTGGGTTTGGAAGGCTTAACATATTTGGGGCCAGCTGGCTTATTTGTTCTGGCTGTGTGAGTAGACTTGTTTCTTATCTTACCCTGGATTCTTCAGATTACTGCCATTTTAAAAGAGTTTATAACAGCATGGCTACTCAAGCCATTCTAAGGTATCAGATTTGATAGATTTGCTGTTTGACTTAAATCAAAAGCTCTCTAATTGGAGAGCTAAGTAACTTGCCAGTTCCTAGGCAATTAGAAGATTAGAGTCCCTATATATTTTTCTCTTACCTGCTTAGACAAGAGGCTTTTTGTTACCATATAAATCTTTAATGCTACACTTGAAACAGCAATTACGAGGATACTGAAATTTAGTAAAATGCTCACATGAGGCCACAGAGGGGAGGTGGTGCAGAAACGGTATCTGTAATATCAGTTGAAACTGTGCCCATGGAAGTGGGCTTAAAATGACAGTGAACACTTGTATAACTGCTTACAAGTTGTCCGTGACCTGGACTGGCTGGAGAATGGAGGGTGGCAAGCAGGCAGGAGAACGGGATGATTCCCGGGTCCCCAACTTTAGACAGAGAACTTTATGAGGGAGAAGATGGGTGCTGGATTTTAGGGCTAAGCCGTCAGAGCCCTTAAAAAAACATCCCCTTGAAACACAAAGCCATGTGTGTCCATGTGCTGCCAAGCACCCAAAGAGACACATCTGGAGCAACTTTAAATCAGTTGAGAACTGACTCCATCTTATAGAACAGTGGTTTATCTGAAAGTTTAAAACAATTGCCAGAGTGATTTTTTTTCACTCACAAACTCATCAAAAGAGATGTGTTTGTGGGGCCCTGGGCGAGAGAGACACTCAGCAACAGACAGGCTGTCCAGAGCATACAACAGGAGGAAGAATGTGTCAAGTTTGTGCCGGCAAGTGAGTCAACCAAGCCACCAGACAAACAGCAGTGAGTCTGTGCACTGTATAGCTACCGAGAGGATAAGTGTTTCCAAAGAAAGGGCGGTGAGCGAGAGAGAAGCCTTAAGACTGGTGAACCACTCCCAGCACACGGAAAAGTAAGTGCCGAGTGCCTGGGAAATTTTTGAACATCCTTGAAGGGCCGGATGCACGCGACTCATTCAGCCCACCCCTCGTCTTTAGCACACTCCAGGCCTCTGCTCCTTATCTATTCACACTGCCCAGCATGGTCAGCTTTGTCTATGAGTGTTTTCTCTGCTGTGTTCCAGATCCTGAATCCCTGATCTTGTGTGTAACGTCCATGGATGGGCATCACAAGATTCAAGAGTTCCCTGGAAAGTCAATGGCAAAGTGTGTGTGTGTGTGTGTGTGTGTGTGTGTGTGTGTGTGTGTGTTTCAAAGAAGTCCCTGACTCAAAAAACGTTGAAGAGCCACAGGTCTGTCTGGGTGCTACGTTTGATGACAGGAAGGATCTCATTTTTAATTTGCTTTGTATTAAGATTTAACATCTATTTGTTGCAAACTTCATACCATGCTTGGTGCTTTTTCTGTATTCTGTCACTTAATCCCCATCCCACCCAGGGATAGTTCGTACCATCTCCATTTTATCCTGGAGGTACCATCTTCACAATGGTGAAGTAACTCACCCAGGATGTCACCACTAAGAAGGGTCAAAGCTGTGCTGCAGTTGGGCCTACCCTGTCCCCTGAAATGCAAGGCCTGGTCTTCCCCAGGCCTCGGTTCAGGACCAGGCATGAAGCAAGGGTCTCTACATGGTCAGTGATCCAAATTCATCGATTGCCTGATTGGCAGCATGTGATGGTGGATGTCAAATGTGGGTGATGAAAATATATCCATAAAAAATCATGCTTTAGGAAAACTTTAAACCCTAAAAAGTCTCCCCCACCCAACTTTGCTCTCTTTCATAGTCAAAGGATCCCTAATAGAAATGCCAACTTAATAAAACAACTTGTCATATTATTCAGCCTTAAAATGTAAGAAAATCCTGGGCCGGCCGAGTGGCGCGATGGTTAAGAACTCGCTTGGGATGCCAGAAGTCCCCGGTTCGGATCCCACATATGAGGGCCAGTGACACGCCCTCCACAGCTAAGATGCTGAACAACAGCTCAACCTGGAGTTGGGCTGCCATGAGTCTCCGGCGATGGCATAGGCTGCAGCCCCTGTGGCAGTGGGTTGCCATGGGCTACCGTGTGTACCCAGCAGCCAGTGTGAGCAGCCAGCA